TTAGGTCTAGCAATCTAATCTACCTGGAGAATAGAGGGTGTTGACATGTCCTAGAACTACATTTTTATAAGAATAAGAGACAGGGATAATATTTCCTATTCTGGTTTGAAAATAAAAACCACCTGTATCTTATAGCATCAAGAACTCATTGGATGGCATTTTTTTCAGAGAATTAAAAAAAAAAATCTCATGTGGTTTTCAAATAGGACTACAAAGGAACAGCTCAGAATGCAGTGACACCTAATGGCAAAGCTATCTTTATAAGCCATAAATGTATTTTCTAATAAACATTATATTTGCATTAAAACTGTGTAAGTATTGCTACTCACCAATATGCTGTCTATAATCTGAAATATGAAAATCTAAAAGCAATACCAAATACTTTACTTTTTAATAGTAAAATAACATATGCAAATGAAGGGGAAAAAAGAAAACTTCCAGATTAGAAAGTGTGGTTTTAAAATTACAATACCCTTTGAGATAAAATTACAATATGATAAACTTAGCCTTAGGAATTGAATTAAATATAATGTATCTTCCATTACTCCTAACAATTTCAACTGATTTCTACTGTTTAAAAAGTTGAAAGTTAATCACCTTGATTTTTATTCATATTTGAATTAAAATTTAGAGGAGATATTTATTGGGTGTACGCTTCACTCGGAGTAGAAAGCAAAGGTCCTTGGTGTAATGGCTTATTAGTCATGTCATAGTTGATACTGTTGATTAATAATACTGTCTAACTTAAGGCACATCTGAATTATGCTTCAGATAACTGTATTAATGATACAGAAAAGAATAGTAAAGTACACCCTTATTTTAAATTCAGAAACTACTTGTTCATACATTCCAGAAATTTATAGTATATGCTATCCATAACTTAGAGACCAAACAACCACTGTAAATAATAAAGGGATTATTTAAATCACTGAGATATCTTATACAGTGCAAAGAGTCCTTAATGACTCTTTGGGGGCTATCATACCCAATGCATATTATGTAAAGAGGTGGAAAAGAAATATTTTGTTGTAAGACACAGTACATTTTCTGGAAATACTTTTACATTCTATATTTGATAAAACTGTCTTCAGTGCAAAAATCACGAAAACTGTTGCTTTAAATCTGCCATCTATTACTGTTTTTAATGTGGACATTTTATTCACCCATCAGTTCTGTACTTTAATTTGAACTTTTTTGTGATGAAAATATTCTGCGCATTGTTTTAGGCTTCTCAAACAAATCATAGTTAATGATTATTATCTCAGAGGATAAAGTATCTTGTGCTTATGAGAAAAACATAAATAAATGGTTTGTTTCTATTTCCTGTTGGCATAAGGTATTTTACTATGACTGATAACAAGAAAAACCTGCAAGTGATTTTCGTAATATGTGACTACACTGTTTGAACATACCCTTATAGAGATATATAACTGAGAATAGCTCATTTCAATCAGTTCTGTGAGCACAGGAACCAGATAAAGAAATGAGCATACATTAAACTGTTAAAACATGAGATCCTCCATATTAGATTTGAAGCAAAACACAAACTGTGCAGTTGACTGGAAATGCCACCTAATCCCTGCTTAATTAAAGCAGTGCTCTACACTCCTGTTGTGTTTAGGGAGTAAAGAGTGTGGAACGACTGATGTATGAAGAAAATAGCAGTCAGCGTGTCTAATCTCAAAGACTTTCGAGCTTTCTAGCTACATAAATCAGAGCGACTTTTGAATAGCCTCATAAAACACAGTATCATTGCCATTCCACTCACGATTTTTTGGTTCTTCCTACAGCATGCAGATCATTAGGAAACTTCTAAGCAATCAAGTAATGTGGGTCTGATGAAATTACTCAATCAATGCACATGCTCAAAGTAAAAGCATAATTCAAAATTGCAGTTTTTATATGTCAGAAGACCTTTCTTTTGGGGGGCAAAGAATATCACAATCGAGGTGATTCATTTCTAAATACTACGTGTCTGAATGTGCTTTAAACAAATGTAATTATCAAATATCTTTAAAATGTGATTTAACAGAAAAAGTAATTATGTATGATAGTAGTGCATTTTTTACTGAAATAAATACACTGCCACTCCAATCACTGGAGTTTAACTATTATGATGTATTTCATCATTGATATAATAGAGTTTAAAATATGTAACTGACTTTTAAAAACTACCTGCATGAAATAAAAACAAAGAGAAAGAAAGAAGAATCGAGAGAGTTTTCATATATATAATTCTGTTCAACACTGAAAGGATTCAATATTTAAAGAACCTATTAGAGCAGTGTCTTTTTTATCTTTCCAGCTTGCCTGAACTACATATTGCAGCTACTTTCTACATGAACACACCACGAGGCTAGAAAAACCTTTCATTTCTGCATATGTCTTTATAAATCTAGAGTTTAAATACTCACTTTTCCTTCAGTTCCATCACTTTCATCCCTTCAATCCTGAAATAATACATTTGCCATAAGCATATTTCTCCCATTAAATATTTAAACGAAAGCAATCACCTCCTAAAGATAATTCTCTTTTGCTAGTCACCAAGGTAAACTGATCCAATGAATATTAACTGATGGTTTAAAACTTTAATATGGGCATTTAGTTTTGAATTTATTATACTTTGGCTGGGATGGGAGATGGAAGCAGGAGGGGCTTTTAACCCCTGACATGCACTCAAATTAGTCTTGGTCATCTTAATTTGGTAAGAAATATTTATCAATATATTATAAAAGATATGAAGCATTTGAAGCAATTATCAATTTGCTAGCTTCATGGCAATATTGGGTAGCCTATAAAAGAAGCTAATCCTCTTGCCTAATGTACTAATTGCATTCAAGTCAAATTGTCTGGTAAGTATTCCTTTTAATAGGATATACACAGTTCATGCATATAACCTGCTTTTTGAAGAAATCTGTAATTTGTACACAGTTATCTTTTTTTTTTTTGGTCTGGTTATAAATAAGTAAGCCATGTCACACTGACAGACAACAGAATGCAAAGGGAAAAATACAACAGTTGTGTTCTATTTAGAAACAAATGATCAGACTGCATTGCAAAATAGTATTCAGCTGATAAAGGACAGAAAGAGCTGTAGGTGTTTGCAAATAATATATTTATCCTGTAGACCACAGAATAAGCAATAAGCATTTATCCACAAGCCTTTTCTCCTGAGCGATGAAGAGCGTAAGGCAGAAACCCCTAATCATAAAATGAACGTAAAGGTACCATAGTAATGTATCTTTCTGCATCCTCTTCCTGTCATTTACAATTGGATATAAATGTGTGTCATTTCTTTAAGAGAACAGTTCGTTTCTGAATTCTATCAGAACATTACTGAACCCCTCAATGAGGCCATGATTTCTCCCTGAAAAGTTCTGAACCCACAGGCCCTGTTAGCCCCCAGGCAAAACGTGATCTAGCAGTCAAGCTATCTAGTGCTTAATTTACTTAATGCATAAGTGCAAGGTTTTCCGAATCCTGACCTCATTACCCCTTATACAGAGACATGTATGGTTCTACTAATATAAGTGACAGAGAATGGCAGACATGTTTACAAAGACAGCCTCTGAGACCGAGGAGGAGTCCCCTGGAGCTGAGGGGCTGGCCGCTGTGGAAGCACACACCAGACAGAAGCCCCTCGCTGGGGCAGGCACAAGAGCCACGTGAAGCAGGTGCCCTTCCAGGACTCTGTGGTGTGTGTGTGTGGAGGGGGTGTTTGTGAGAGAGAGAGAGCGCGCTCAGGGGAGGGGCAGGGGGACGAAAGGAGGAGATGCTGCGACCCATCTGTCGCTTCAATTTGAAGAACATCAAGCCGTGTGGACAGATAAAAGTCCTGTGCCCAGAAAAATTCCCCAAGAGGGGTCTCTCTTCATCCCAGTAAATGAACCTTGCTGGCCCGCGGACACGAATTTCCGAAAAGGAAATCGTCGCATTAACGCAGAAAAGGCTGCAGGAGCCCGTCTCCACTCAGCTCTTACGGATTAGCAAGTGAGAAGAGTTGGAGCCCGAAGCTGCGAGCGCTGTGCATGATAATGACGCGCGGCCCCCACCCGCCCCCGCCCCCGCCCCCGCCCGCCGCGGCCAGTCCCGGCCCGTCTGGTTGCCAATAGGTGGGGCCACGAGCATCTCCGAGCCGGCTCGGCGTCCTTCTTGGAGTCAGGCCGCCCGGCAGTAGCCCAAACGCCTTTGCTCTCGGCCTTACAGGCAACTCAAGAGTTGACCGCGAGACAAGGCGAGGCAGGTGTCTGCAAGGCAGCCCACGAGGGCGGCCCGCGCGCCCCGCGCTTCTCGTGCGCCCGGGGGCCAGTCTCGCCGCCGCGCCAGGCCGGGGGAGTGTGCGAAGCAGCCAGGCGCGCGGCTCCCCGTCCTCGGCTACACCGCCGCCAGCCCCTCCCGCCACCGTCGCGGCGACTCCGCGCGAGTACCGCAAAGCCAAGAGGACGGGAAGAGGAAAAGGAGGCTGGGGGCGCAGCCCGCACCCCGTCACCATCGCACAACGCTGCGGCTAAGGCAGCCCGCTCACGTTGCAAAACCACCTGTTCGATCCGAAGGGAGCTCCCCCACCTCTCACCCCAGTTTTCGCCTCACAGGTGACACACACCTCTTCTTTCCCCTAAAGATTTTTTTTTTTTAATGGAGCAAATGTACATCCGGGAGAGAATATGGAAGGTAGAGTCGATTAAACTTCCCTTCCCCACACACTCAGAACCCACCCCCCGCACTTCCCGGCACACACGCACAACTGAGGTAAACTCGAGACCCCCACGCATCCATCACACACTCCACGATTCACCGCGAAACAACGGCCCAAGTCAAGGTTCGAGCATCCACATCCTGCCAGAAAACTGAACAAGTGTGAGGGAAGGTTAGCGGGAAGGGGCAATAAACCGAAGCCAGCGCCAATAAGCCACACAGAGGGCGGAGAGGGGGAGGCAAAGGGAAATATTTGCTAACCCAAACGTTAAAAGTACCCACAGGCAACACCTGCCCTTTCTTACCGATGTGAATGATTGAATCCGCATTCGCCAAGTCCCAGGTTCGAGACCACCAGACGGACAAAACCAAGAGCAAGGGGAAAACTTCCATGTCCTCCTATGCTGAATCTCTTTTAGGATGGTTTCTCTTTCAATATATTTTTGTAAGCCAGTCCGAAGAGTTCGAGGTCACGATAGAGTTTAGCGCAGCTTTTTCTTTTTTTCTAAATTCCTATTGCCAGAGCAAAGCCTTTAATCGTCGCTGATGAAGGCAGAGCGAATTAAGAGAGCCCAGCCTGAGGAAACCTCCTTCGCAAAGCCGTGTCACTTGGAGGGGAATTTTGGCGTCGCCAGAGTTGTTTGCAGTTTGGCTTTTAAAAAAAATGTATCCAGCCTCGGCTGCTCTCGGGCAGGGGGAGAGGCTGGAGCTCAGACCATCCCCATCGCTGCGCCGGGGCCGCGGGTCTCCAGTCCCAGCTCCGCCGCAACTTCCAACAGACCACCCCCCTCCCCCTACGCCGGATGTTCCCTCCCCCCCCCCCAACCAAAAAAAAAAAAAGCGCCCCCCGCCCCCGCCCCAAGGGCCCGCAGAGAATCACTTGTTTCGCTGCCAAAATAAAATCTAAGTGGAAAGGAAAGATTAGGAGATTCCAAGCGGAGCAGCCAGATTCCAACAGGGAAAGGAAAAAAGCCCTCTCCAAGAGGGGTAGTAAAAGTGAACTTCAAGGTAATGCAGATAGTAATGCAGAGAAAATTCCTTTTCTGCGCGAGGCAGGGAGCGGAGCTCGGCGAGGCGGGCCCGGGGAGCCGGTTCGCTCGGGCGCGGTGGCGGGGGAGTTGCGCCGGGCGCGAGCAGCGGGGCCGGGCCGGCGGAGGGAAGCCTGCGGGCTGCAGGATGCTTTTGGAGCGGTTCGCCTGGCGGGATGCAGGAAGCGAGCAAGGAGCGAGCCTGGCAGCTTCAGCACTAGCCCCACGTTGCCTAGAAATGGATCACCTAGGAGAACCAGCGAGCCCGCGAGAGAGCGGTGCTGTCAAGCGGAGAGAGGGGGAACCGAGAGAGGAAGAGCTTCTCTCTAATAACCACCTCCTCCCCCTATCTGCAATACAAGGGAGAAACAAAATAGTGCTCTCATTTCCCTTGGAATCTTCAACTGGGACTGAGAAAAAGGCAGGACTCCAAGAAAAAAAAAAAAAAAAAACGTTGAAGCTTTTTGGTTGTGTTTTGTTTTGTTTTGTTTAGGAGGTTAAAGGCAACCTGAAAAAGCCACCCCACTTATTTAACCTTGCTACTGCTATTCTCCAACAGGTATCAGACTTTTTCTAGTCTTTGCCTGGAATTAGTCACATTGGATAAAAACAAATTAGGGACACCTGGTCACTAAGGGAAAAAGAGACCTAGAAAGCGCTTAATGAGATTTCAATTATAAAGTTATAAAAAGGGACATGCTAATTATTTTTTATACAGTGATTTTTTTTTACCTTCTCTCTCTCTCTCCAGAGTATTTTTAGGCAATCAGGATAAAGAAAGGATAAAGAACGTGGAAAAAAAATGTAATAAATAGTAAAATACATTCTTCAGTGAGGCATTTGATCCAAATATTACATTGACAATGGACCTATGTATATAAATTCAGAATGAGGAAGTTGGTAGCTTCTCCATGAAAAGAGCTGAAAAAGTACTGAATGATAGCCTCCCAGTCCCAGAATGAAAGGATTTTTGGCATGCTCATTCCTTGAAATAGAATCCTGACAATTGTGACTTCCTTTCTTGTAATGATTATCTTATATTCAGCCTGACCCCACTCCAGACTGGAGGTTTGTTAACACAACCAAATAACTAGTTGAGGCCAGATATTAATAGGCCTGATATTATTTCAATTATAATTGGAATCCTTTGGAAATGTTGCTATTTGGGATTTGTGGATGTCAAACTCCTTAAACAACCTTTCATATTTGGCAAACCTCTTTTCTTCTTGAGACTTTCTAGCCTGGTGAATTGGGCTAGTATTTCTCCAAACACGGTTGTATGTTCTCACCTCTGTGAAATGCCTTCTTTCATTTATCTTGTGTAGTTTTTCCCTGAACATTCCAGAAAATGTGCTACCATATTGTTACTTAGGTCAATAATTCTGTTGGAAGGATCTATTCATTCTTCCAACCACTCTGCCACTTCAAAGCTTATTTCAAATTTTGCCCATGATATAATGTCCAATCCTTTAATATGGAATACATCTATCCTTCTTCTGTGTTCTCATAGCACACTGTACCTTTATATTAGAGTTAGATGGGACTACTTCTGAATTAGATCATCAGTGCCCTGAGAGTGAGAACCATAGCTTATTCATGTTTTATTCACTGTAGCATTTTACATAGAGCCCCTTTGTTGACTTGGATTTCATCATTTCCATCTGAATCTGGCATAAATCAGTGTTTCCAAGAAGCCATCACTGATTAATTTGTCTCAATTTTGATCATTCCTTTATTTTTCCCATCAGTATACATGTACTCAATTTGATTGTATTAATGTTATTGATGTCATTTTACTTTTTAAAGAGTTCTGTTGTGATTTCATGGATCATATTTTGTTGTTACAGGTAATGAAGTTTTTGAAAGAATGGCGGTATCGCTCCATAACTTGCTTCTATTATATTTTTCACAAGGGTGTTTAAAAAATTGATGAGTCACTATGTGCTCTATGAAGAAAAAAATTGTGAGATAACCATTAACATGGAAAGAACACTATAATATGTTAGAATCAGAGAACTAGGAGGAACTTCAAAACATTAGCTGGCTCAGTCCTGGCTTAATAAATGTCATTCCTGGAGATAGCTAAATGTAGTCAATTCATATCATCTTCTGTCTTGGAAATCTGTTCTGGAGTATTACGAGCAAAGCATTTTCATTATTCCCAAATCTTCCCATTTATTGGTTCTCAAAGGTAGCTTCACTTTGGAATAACCTGGAAAGCTTTTCAAAAGGTCACTTCAGGCTAATTGAATCAAAATCTCTGGGGTTTGGGGTCTGACCAATATGTGTTAAACTCTCTGAATCTGACTTAATGTGTAGCCATAGTTCAGAACTATTGTCACAATACTCAGACATTTACAAGAGTCTTCATGACACATCACAAAAACCATAAAGGCATCAAAATGCATGTTCCTGACATTTAAAAGAAATAATAGTACCATGAGATGTAGCTTTCTAAAAGTAATACAAAGTTAATGGAGAATTGAAGCATAACAGTGGCTTATTGATTTTAAATTTAAGAATATCAATTACTCTTTTAAACTGTTGAAATAATTTCTATACCAAATGAGCCCTAATTAGTGGTTTTTGTATGAAATATGAGTTTAAACCCATTTTTAAATTATGTGATAACCATATTTCTTACTATTTTAGAAAATTTCATATTGTGATATAATTAGATGGATACAAAATTAGTTTACTTAGGTTAGCTGGATGCAAAATTCTTTAATATTTAAGTAGAAGTTAAATTCCGGGGTGGGGGGGAATAAGAAATTCACTGGTTGTACTTCCATATCAGCTTTTTATGAAGGCCATATATTAGTGTAATTAAGCCTATTTAGCTTTAATTCAAGCATTATCATATAGAAATGGCTGATACATCTGACTTGCTGTACTGAAATTCAAAACTTTGGCATTTTGGCATATTTTTTTGTTGAAAAAACAGCTTCCATTCATGAAAATTTTATACCAATGATTAATTTTTGGAATAAAAATGTAAGGGAACCATGAGTCATGAATTTATTCTTCCTATGTGGAGACTGTCAATTCAATTCAGGCATGAGTTGTGTTATGAACATCAATAGAGTAATCCTCCCCCCTTATCCACAGTTTTACTTTCTACAGTTTCAGTTATCCAAAGTCAACCATGGCCTGGAAGCCAATGATCATCCTTTTGTATCATCAGAAGATCAACAGCAGCCTAATGCTTCGTCACAATGTTTATGACATTCACGTCACCTCTTCACATCACATAGGCAGTTTATCATGCTATGTCATCATTAGTAAAAGGGTGAGTACAGTACAATAAGATATTTTGAGAGAGAGAGGAACCACAGTCATACACCTTTTATTACAGCATATTGTTATAATAGCTCTATTTTATAATTGTTAACCTCTTACTGTGCCTAATTTATCATCTAAGCTTTATCATAGGTATGTATCTGTAGCAATAAACCTAGTATATTTAAGTTTCAGTACTAGCTGTGATTTCAGACATCCACTGTGGGTCTTCAAACATATCCACTGTGAATAAGGGAGACTACTGTAATTTCAAGAAGTGGTAGATAATCCTAGCAGCTTTAAGATGTAAAGAATAATGATTATTTTTTTATGGAAGAACAGAATTTGGGAGAACTATTAATTTGCATTTTTGGAGGGGATTTGCAGGCTCCTTTAATCATGTACAATGTACTGTGTGGAAAGAAAGCAACATAATGGAAATACCTGGAATATATAATTCTTTCATTTTTACTCTAAACAAATACTAGGAATACCAATGTCTAAACTTTAAAAATCAGCTGCTCACTGAATGTTACAATGGTAGTAAGTCAACTTACAACTTTAGTTGTAAGTCAACTTAGTCAACTTTAAAAAACTTCAATAATGGGGCACCTGGGTGGCTCAGTCATTAAACGTCTGTCCCAGGGTCCTGGGATTGAGCCCTGCAACGGGCTCCCTGCTCAGCGGGAAGCCTGCTTCTCCCTCTCCCACTCCCCCTGCTTGTGTTCCCTCTCTGGTTGTGTCTCTCTCTGTCATATGAATAAAATCTTAAAAAAAAAAAAGAACTTCAATAATATTCAGTGACTCAAGAGATGTATTTTGTTTTGATATAAAATACTGTAAATTTATGGGATAGCTTACTTGAAAATTAGGGTGAAACAGCTTTGAAAAGAATATCAGAGAAAAAATAGGATGTAATGCATTTTGATCATTTTTTCTAATTTGCTATAATTGTATCGTTAATATTACAAATATGATTAGCCATACAAATGATTCTAAGTATACTGCCACTTTAATTAATATAACTATGAAAGGAAAACTATGAGCTTGCAATGACTATCTGCATATGCAGGCAATATGTTATTGTAAATTATGGCTGTAAATTTATAATTGAGATGTTCATTTGCAGAAGTAAAAATCAAATTCTTTTTGTTTGAGGGGCTGAAAAGGTGACTTTTATACTTAGCAAATCAAAGAAGTTCAAAACTCAGTGGGATTTTAGGGCCTCTCTTATTCAATGCTTGGTGTTCTGGAAGAGAATGAGAAATTGAGTTGCAGAAGTTGTACTGACATTTGATGAAAGACTCAAACTGAGAAAACACATTTTTTTGATATCAAGAAAATCATTAAATCACACATTTCTATGT